AGGGATAAAATTCAGTGAAAGTTTCAGCTTTCTATCTATAATAGAAAAAAAGTTATGACCTTTCAAAATTTTCCAAAATCTAAATCATAAGGTAGGTACCTTCTTACTAAAATGATGAAATTTCAATTTTTTTTTTATCGAGATTTTGCATCCTAATGGTCAATCAGAATACCCCAAACTCCATACACTAAATTATTCTCAGATTTGAAGCCAAAATCTATGAAAAAAGGCACTCAGAAAAATTGATTAATCACCCCAAATTGCTTAACACGATTTTATCTCAGGAACTATAAGTGCAAATGAGCTGAAATTTTCAGGGATTGTAGTCCTTTGAAAGGGATAAAATTCAGTGAAAGTTTCAGCTTTCTATCTATAATAGAAAAAAAGTTATGACCTTTCAAAATTTTCCAAAATCTAAATCATAAGGTAGGTACCTTCTTACTAAAATGATGAAATTTCAATTTTTTTTTTATCGAGATTTTGCATCCTAATGGTCAATCAGAATACCCCAAACTCCATACACTAAATTATTCTCAGATTTGAAGCCAAAATCTATGAAAAAAGGCACTCAGAAAAATTGATTAATCACCCCAAATTGCTTAACACGATTTTATCTCAGGAACTATAAGTGCAAATGAGCTGAAATTTTCAGGGATTGTAGTCCTTTGAAAGGGATAAAATTCAGTGAAAGTTTCAGCTTTCTATCTATAATAGAAAAAAAGTTATGACCTTTCAAAATTTTCCAAAATCTAAATCATAAGGTAGGTACCTTCTTACTAAAATGATGAAATTTCAATTTTTTTTTTTATCGAGATTTTGCATCCTAATGGTCAATCAGCATACCCCAAACTCCATACACTAAATTATTTTCAGATTTGAAGCCAAAATCTATGAAAAAAGGCACTCAGAAAAATTGAAAAATTGATAAATCACCCCAGATTGCTTAACACGATTTTATCTCAGGAACTATAAGTGCAAATGAGCTGAAATTTTCAGGGATTGTAGTCCTTTGAAAGGGATAAAATTCAGTGACAGTTTCAGCTTTCTATCTATAATAGAAAAAAAGTTATGACCTTTCAAAATTTTCCAAAATCTAAATCATAAGGTAGGTACCTTCTTACTAAAATGATGAAATTTCAATTTTTTTTTTATCGAGATTTTGCATCCTAATGGTCAATCAGAATACCCCAAACTCCATACACTAAATTATTCTCAGATTTGAAGCCAAAATCTATGAAAAAAGGCACTCAGAAAAATTGATTAATCACCCCAAATTGCTTAACACGATTTTATCTCAGGAACTATAAGTGCAAATGAGCTGAAATTTTCAGGGATTGTAGTCCTTTGAAAGGGATAAAATTCAGTGAAAGTTTCAGCTTTCTATCTATAATAGAAAAAAAGTTATGACCTTTCAAAATTTTCCAAAATCTAAATCATAAGGTAGGTACCTTCTTACTAAAATGATGAAATTTCAATTTTTTTTTTATCGAGATTTTGCATCCTAATGGTCAATCAGAATACCCCAAACTCCATACACTAAATTATTCTCAGATTTGAAGCCAAAATCTATGAAAAAAGGCACTCAGAAAAATTGATAAATCACCCCAAATTGCTTAACACGATTTTATCTCAGGAACTATAAGTGCAAATGAGCTGAAATTTTCAGGGATTGTAGTCCTTTGAAAGGGATAAAATTCAGTGAAAGTTTCAGCTTTCTATCTATAATAGAAAAAAAGTTATGACCTTTCAAAATTTTCCAAAATCTAAATCATAAGGTAGGTACCTTCTTACTAAAATGATGAAATTTCAATTTTTTTTTTATCGAGATTTTGCATCCTAATGGTCAATCAGAATACCCCAAACTCCATACACTAAATTATTCTCAGATTTGAAGCCAAAATCTATGAAAAAAGGCACTCAGAAAAATTGATTAATCACCCCAAATTGCTTAACACGATTTTATCTCAGGAACTATAAGTGCAAATGAGCTGAAATTTTCAGGGATTGTAGTCCTTTGAAAGGGATAAAATTCAGTGAAAGTTTCAGCTTTCTATCTATAATAGAAAAAAAGTTATGACCTTTCAAAATTTTCCAAAATCTAAATCATAAGGTAGGTACCTTCTTACTAAAATGATGAAATTTCAATTTTTTTTTTATCGAGATTTTGCATCCTAATGGTCAATCAGAATACCCCAAACTCCATACACTAAATTATTCTCAGATTTGAAGCCAAAATCTATGAAAAAAGGCACTCAGAAAAATTGATTAATCACCCCAAATTGCTTAACACGATTTTATCTCAGGAACTATAAGTGCAAATGAGCTGAAATTTTCAGGGATTGTAGTCCTTTGAAAGGGATAAAATTCAGTGAAAGTTTCAGCTTTCTATCTATAATAGAAAAAAAGTTATGACCTTTCAAAATTTTCCAAAATCTAAATCATAAGGTAGGTACCTTCTTACTAAAATGATGAAATTTCAATTTTTTTTTTTATCGAGATTTTGCATCCTAATGGTCAATCAGCATACCCCAAACTCCATACACTAAATTATTTTCAGATTTGAAGCCAAAATCTATGAAAAAAGGCACTCAGAAAAATTGAAAAATTGATAAATCACCCCAAATTGCTTAACACGATTTTATCTCAGGAACTATAAGTGCAAATGAGCTGAAATTTTCAGGGATTGTAGTCCTTTGAAAGGGATAAAATTCAGTGAAAGTTTCAGCTTTCTATCTATAATAGAAAAAAAGTTATGACCTTTCAAAATTTTCCAAAATCTAAATCATAAGGTAGGTACCTTCTTACTAAAATGATGAAATTTCAATTTTTTTTTTATCGAGATTTTGCATCCTAATGGTCAATCAGAATACCCCAAACTCCATACACTAAATTATTCTCAGATTTGAAGCCAAAATCTATGAAAAAAGGCACTCAGAAAAATTGATTAATCACCCCAAATTGCTTAACACGATTTTATCTCAGGAACTATAAGTGCAAATGAGCTGAAATTTTCAGGGATTGTAGTCCTTTGAAAGGGATAAAATTCAGTGAAAGTTTCAGCTTTCTATCTATAATAGAAAAAAAGTTATGACCTTTCAAAATTTTCCAAAATCTAAATCATAAGGTAGGTACCTTCTTACTAAAATGATGAAATTTCAATTTTTTTTTTATCGAGATTTTGCATCCTAATGGTCAATCAGAATACCCCAAACTCCATACACTAAATTATTCTCAGATTTGAAGCCAAAATCTATGAAAAAAGGCACTCAGAAAAATTGATTAATCACCCCAAATTGCTTAACACGATTTTATCTCAGGAACTATAAGTGCAAATGAGCTGAAATTTTCAGGGATTGTAGTCCTTTGAAAGGGATAAAATTCAGTGAAAGTTTCAGCTTTCTATCTATAATAGAAAAAAAGTTATGACCTTTCAAAATTTTCCAAAATCTAAATCATAAGGTAGGTACCTTCTTACTAAAATGATGAAATTTCAATTTTTTTTTTATCGAGATTTTGCATCCTAATGGTCAATCAGCATACCCCAAACTCCATACACTAAATTATTCTCAGATTTGAAGCCAAAATCTATGAAAAAAGGCACTCAGAAAAATTGAAAAATTGATAAATCACCCCAAATTGCTTAACACAATTTTATCTCAGGAACTATAAGTGCAAATGAGCTGAAATTTTCAGGGATTGTAGTCCTTTGAAAGGGATAAAATTCAGTGAAAGTTTCAGCTTTCTATCTATAATAGAAAAAAAGTTATGACCTTTCAAAATTTTCCAAAATCTAAATCATAAGGTAGGTACCTTCTTACTAAAATGATGAAATTTCAATTTTTTTTTTATCGAGATTTTGCATCCTAATGGTCAATCAGCATACCCCAAACTCCATACACTAAATTATTTTCAGATTTGAAGCCAAAATCTATGAAAAAAGGCACTCAGAAAAATTGAAAAATTGATAAATCACCCCAAATTGCTTAACACGATTTTATCTCAGGAACTATAAGTGCAAATGAGCTGAAATTTTCAGGGATTGTAGTCCTTTGAAAGGGATAAAATTCAGTGAAAGTTTCAGCTTTCTATCTATAATAGAAAAAAAGTTATGACCTTTCAAAATTTTCCAAAATCTAAATCATAAGGTAGGTACCTTCTTACTAAAATGATGAAATTTCAATTTTTTTTTTATCGAGATTTTGCATCCTAATGGTCAATCAGCATACCCCAAACTCCATACACTAAATTATTTTCAGATTTGAAGCCAAAATCTATGAAAAAAGGCACTCAGAAAAATTGAAAAATTGATTAATCACCCCAAATTGCTTAACACGATTTTATCTCAGGAACTATAAGTGCAAATGAGCTGAAATTTTCAGGGATTGTAGTCCTTTAAAAAAGATAAAATTCAGTGAAAGTTTCAGCTTTCTATCTATAATAGAAAAAAAGTTATGACCTTTCAAAGTTTTCCAAAATCTAAATCATAAGGTAGGTACCTTCTTACTAAAATGATGAAATTTCAATTTTTTTTTTATCGACATTTTGTATGCTAATGGTCAATCAACACACCCCAAACTCCATACACTAAATTATTCTCAGATTTGAAGCCAAAATCTATGAAAAAAGGCACTCAGAAAAATTGAAAAATTGATAAATTACCCCAATTGCTTAACACGATTTTATCTCAGAAACTATAAGTGCAAATCAGCTGAAATTTTCAGGGATTCTTATCCCAGTAGAGGACTACAAACCCTGAAAAAATCAGCTCATTTAGACATATAGTTTCAGAAATGAGTAAACCGTTAAATTCTACTCCAGCAACTTTATACATAAATCAACTATTTTCCAACCAATGAAAATTTTACAAAATTCAAGCCTCAGAGTGAAGGAGGACGTTAATGTTTTTTTTTTCTTCTATCTCACTCAGAAATAATTGACATATTTCCTATTACAAATATCCAAATTGGCTCACCCTGTACAATGATTCCATCAATACTCACCTATTATGACCAGTAATAAAAGGCCTTTGCCCATCATATTCACAATCATCCAGTTCCAAAAACTCAGACAAACTAGGTTTAGGCCTTTTAGGGTAACAAACCAAAATATGCGTTACCGAAGCCCTACGTACAGGACCGTTTCTTGAAAATGACGTTATGAGATCATGAGGAGAACCTATAATATAAAACAATCAAATCAACACTTATATTAATCAACTAACACAATCTTTACCTGTATAACTGCCATCATACATTTCATTAATAGCGATATCAATCCTAGCCCTATTACCCATTGGTACGTAAGTGAAAGTGAACCTAGAGTGGCACAATTTTAAATGTTTCAATAAGGTGTAAAGGGCGTGACAATTTACAGAACACCAAGGACAATGTAAATCCTCAGAAGCCTCGGTTTGTTGCCTTGAATTATTATTATAAACAAATTGGTATACAATTTCTAGTTTTTTTATCTTGTCCTCCTTATTGTCTGCATTAGCTAAGGCTCCGTTGTTTTCCTTATTGTCCAACGGATATAGTTTGGGCCTGTCTACTAGTTTGGCAGTAGCCTGATTGCTCCAATTCAATTTAAATTTTAAAATAGCCCCTTTTAAAAAAGTATCAATGCTATTGCAAGTTTCTAATAAGTCGCTAACGTTTTCCCAAGTGGAATGCTTTTTATGAACACTTTTTGATAAATTCTTGGCAAATTCTTGCACTACAATATCGTAATCACCATCAGTGAGGCAGCAACGGTTATGTTTATCGTAAATAGTTAATTCAGCAGTGTATAGCTTCATAGTTTCCCCATTAGTTTTGCGTTTCTTCAATGGAGGCTCTTCCGAATCTGTATTATTATCAATGTCAACGTTGACTTTGACTTTAAATAGTAAAATGAAACTTTTAACTAAAGGCCCATTGGCGCTATTAAAAGTGTCAGTCGGAATACTGATTGTTGGGGCAGTTAATGGCAAATGGCCTAGAGGATTAATAGGAACGTCGGCAGTGCCTAGAGTAATTTGCATGCTTGTTGCTGAAGAATCTTTGCGTTTGTTGTGGGTTATTTTAAGCAGCACCGTTTCGACGTGCGCAAAATCAGACTCGTAATTCGATGTGGTGCTGTTGAATCCTTAAATTATAAGTTAGATGATTGAATTTTTTTTTGGTTTTGGTTATTTACCTAGGAATGTTAAATTAATGTAGCCGGGTTGTAGTAGAATGTCCTTTTTTTCGGTTAGGGCTTTTTTGGTTATTTCGAGTAGATTATCTATTTTGAAATTTCTTCTATTTTTGTTTGTTCTAGACATTCTTTCTCTCATATATGTTAGATTACGGTTTAGGAATATGGGCTAGAAAAAAAAATTAATTATTGTTATACGTACTACTTTTTATAAGTTTGGGAAATCATTATCGCCCTTATCAGAAGGGCTAGAACTGTTAGGTTGAATTGAGGTCCATTCAAAAACTTTTTGATTACTTTGTAATATTCTATCAAAATTAAATGATGTACTTATTTTGGTACTGCCTTCAATTTCCAGTACTGTTTGTGCCCGTTGGGCTTTCCACTAAAGTTTAAATACATAATTTAAGCACAAAATCTTGAACGAGGGTCTATTTTCCGAAATAATTCAATCTTAACACAGATAGACAATGTATTTCATTCATAAACCCATATTTGTTATGATGACAAAACCCCATAGCAAAACCCCCAATGGCCAAGAGAAGTTTGCTCCTGGTGAGGATACATCTAGAGGTGTAAACTAGACAAGAAGATGAAACAATATAGGTTATAAAAATGAATTCTTAAACGTTAAAATCACCTTTTCTACATTTAATATTCAAGAAAAAATCAATTCACAAGCACAGCCTGAATCAAAAGTGATCCATCGAGGTCTGCGGGTGACGTCACCACCAACAGCTGCTTATAGTGGTGACGTCACTCGCAGACCCTGCTGACTCAAAAATGGGCGAATGTACACCTTATCAGGATGAGCAATCCTAGTTCACAATTCTTGCATTGATACAATCAAATTTGAGAAGAGTGGCGAGTGCTCCAGTGACAAACAGCTGTTCCGGTTTCATGCGCTGTTGCCAGTTGTGACTGAATGTATTACAATGTGAGGAATTTTTTTTTTTTTAAATTGTTTCAACTAGTCAGTTGCCAACATTTTAGAATTAAAACTAATAAAATTTCTAATGCTTAAAATTAGTGGCAACACTGTCAAATTGCCACTTGTGAGGTATAAGTGAAGAATTTTCTTTTTTATTTTTTTTTTCTCAAAAAGGACTTTGAATTTTTCAAAAATAAGGGTATTTTTCAGTTGCTTTATCCAATTATACCAACGTAAATTTCCAAACAAAACAAATAAACTATAGATACAAAAAACAAAATGAAATAAGTATACCTATTCTAACCCTCAAAATTATCAGGAAGAGCAATAATTTGCCCTTAGTTTTCCATCCATTGATTAAAATGCATGTTAATATCATAATCACAAACTCACAGATCAAATAACTAATATTAATAGACTTTATATTTAAATTCAAACTGTTGATAACAGATGAAGCTTCCATTTAAAAATGGAAACTCTGTCACCTTCTAAGCCTTTTCTCAAACATTTTCTGAGTAAAAAACCAACAACCAACATTAAAAAACTACTCACCGAACACATATGTCTTGTTCTCAAGTATCTATAGATTTGTGTAGGCTCTAAAATACAATAAATTTTAACATTTTCAGTACTTTGTTTGATTTGATATACTCACTTTCAAAAGCTTGTAAAAAGAGCTCATGATCCGCCTGTATATGATCGATGCGTGGATTCTTGGGAGGTTCAATTTCCTTTTCGCGTTTTTTCGGAGGCATTTTTACGAAAAATTAAAATAAAGCGCCAAAAAAACGCGATTTTTCCTTTTTTTTCTTGATGATGGTGAGTGATGGCGTGCCCCCCTGAGTGTTATTTTGACACTGATGACAATTCTACGGTATATAGATGGCGCCACAGTAATCTGTATTATCTCATTGGTATTATCCTAGGTATTTTCATATTTGCTTTTTATTACTACATCAATAAGCCCTTTACTTGCGTCCACTTTTTTGACATTGGTTCATAATTTTGAAACGGGCAATGACTATTGGTACCTACTCTGGATTGATTTGATAGTTCTCCAATTGTTTAAGAGCAACTCTGAATTCATCCGTTCCGGATCAATTCTGAACTAATTTATCCAGATCAAGAATTTATGGCCGTTTGCACCCAAGGATGATACACACCTACAGGATTGCTTATCGGTCTCGTTTTTGGTAATCGCCGCCACACATAGGCCTTATGAGGATAGGCTATCCTGTAGTAGTAGTGTGTATCATCTTTGGTTTGCACCGACCATTTTAAGGAAGGTTTCACAATAATCAACGCTCAAGTGACATTTTTACATGTAAGCGTAGAATTTGTGTGTAGAATCCTAGATCCGAAATTCGTATACAGAGTGGTTTCAAAACTGTGTTGGGAAGGTTTTTAATGAGTTGGAACAAACCTATTACTGCATCAAATATAGTTCAATAACTATTCTTACCTATTCTGGACTAATTTGAGCTGTTTTCTCGCGGTGGACCTGGGATCCGGTTCAATTCGGTTCGAGCCTGTAAATTCTTACGTTGAGCCAGTGACGTCACATTGAACCTGGTTCAAAAAAGTTCGAACCAGACTCTTGGCTTGTTCTCCGTTGACATAAGACTGTGTTCAAACCTTCCATTTCCTCGCGTCCACTAGTGATGACGTCATCAACAAATTGGTTTAAAACTGTAGTTTGAACCATTCGCCCCGTTGTATTTATCGTTGCAGGTGCCTACATTATCGGCATTTTCGGATTTGGTAAAGGTCTGTTTCTGCAGAAATTACAAATCAGTCAGAGTGAATTTCATTGATTGAAACTAGTTTTCTGACTGTTTCTGACTGTTTTCAACCAATGAAATTCGCCCTAACTGGTTTGTGATTTCTGCAGAAACAGACCTTAAAAATGACATTATGTTGGCAATACAATGCAAAATTGTCAATGCTTTCAAATTTTTTATGTAGAAAAGGCTTGTGTTGCCAACATAAGCCGCTTTCCAGTATGCACATTGGCGCGCTCTGGCGCGCTCTAGAGCACCTCGGGGGCGCCACGCACTAGATTTGTACCGTTCCAGTATCATGGCGTGAGACGCCTGTGTTAGTGTCAAATATGTCAAATTTTAAAAATAATTATCTGTTTGTTGGCATCCGCTAAGTTCCGTTAGATAGCGGGCTCCGCTAACGCTAATAGAGAGTTATTGGAACTATTAAATACTGCCTCGCAGTATTAAGGATCTACGTTATTTTATTAGTGCATCAGCACTATTTTTCCGCGGAAATGACAGTTATTGGAAGACTGTTGTAGGTGTTAGAGTATTACGTTATTTTGTATTCATAATTTTGACAGCTGCTAGTTATGTTTATAAATTTCAACCTCAAAAAGTGTTAATTTTTGTTTGTGATTTTCTGCTTCTACCCATTTTTTGATGGTACCTACAGTAAAATGAGAAACTATTGTAATAAACAAATTCTCTAAGTAAAACTACGTCATCGTCGAAAAGCGAAACGTCAATGTCGTCAAAAATGTCAGAAATATCGAAATAAGGGAAGTTTACTGCCTCGCACTAACCATACACAAATAAAGACAAGTAGTAACCTTATTAGGGGAATCCTTATTTTCAGACCCAAATGCGCATGCGTAGATGTCAAAATAAGGCCAATTTAAATACTGCTTGTCCTTATTGCACGTCCAATAACTCTCTAATACCGTAAGAACTGTCATACTTGTCAAATAGCGTTACGGAATTCAAAATTTGGACGGCACGAAAACTCTCTAATATCTTTAAAAAAAAAACAGATTTTAGGTGCTTTCCAGTGATCCATTTGAGTTACTCCTGAGCAGCTCAGGAGTGCTCCACAATTACTTTGCGCGTTCCAGTGCTTAGAGTGTCGTACACTTGAACTACTCATTCCTGTTATTCCCTGCCCCCTCGTGCACCAACCTTTATTTCGGTGTTTCATGCTCCTGACGTGCGAAATATGGTGGGGGTTAAGACGAGAGCGTTCCAGTGCTGCTTATGTCCAACAGTTCAAGAGCGTCACACTCAAGGAGCATGATACTCTAACAATTTAGGCACTGGAAAGCAGCTTTAGATTGTTTGCGTAATTTTCAGAGGAGATTTCGTTCCAATCGACTTTTTTACTCAAATTCTGTTTATTGTTGCCTCTAGAATACCAATTATGGATCCAGTGTAGGTTTTTTGATGTTCGAAACTAATCCGGCAACGTTACAGTTACTCGATTTGGTCTGAAATTCTCGTATTAGTGCACTAAATTCAACTGTTTACTCGTACTATTGTTTTAGATTTTAGAGTAAATAGAGTAGGTGTATTCATTAAAAAGTTGTATTTTTTTCCCTCCCAAAGCTTAGTACTCATAACTGCGAAATTCGCATTTTTTTGACATTGCGTTGACAATTTGACATTTTATGCATGTATCAAACGTCAAATTGTTGAAACAATGTCAAAAAAATGCGAATTTCGCAGTTATGAGTACTAGGCTTTATACTCAAACATGAATATAATTACTCTATTTGACATATTTGGAGTACTCTGAGTAAGCAAATCGTTCAAAATTGTATTTTACTTTGAAGTATTGTTCGTCGATTTTAATCTGATACTCGGACGGAATGTGAGCTGGTGGCTCCCTACATTAGAACGCCAATGGTTACCTGACGTCACACCTGCTTTTTCCATATTAAACACCCCCTAACTCCTCATACGGAAAGTGTCAGTTGAAAATCGACGAACAATAAATAAAGTAAGTTCAAATATTGAAGAGTATAAAAACAAACGAGTTCGGAACAGGTTTTGGGTTTAAGAACAAATAAAATCGATTTGGAACTGATTCTAGTTGCACCGCGAACAATGATCTGGAACACAAATTAAAGATTCCTCGATTGTGAACCAGTTCAAGACTTCAAGATCTACTCGGAACCGATTTTTTTTGATTTACGAACAATCAACGTGCTCCAATACAATTCAGTTTAGTTTTTTCCGAATTCGGAACAGCATGGCAGCAAATATTCAGTTAAATTCCTCAAAATGTTGTAGAGGGCGCGAGTGAACTTGGAGTGCTTTAAATTTTGGCGGTAAATGTCAATAGTTTTAAACACAAGTTTTAAACCGGTTAAATTGAGTAGAAGGAATAGATGACTACATATGAACAATGGACAACGGATAAGTTAAAATATTTTCCAAAGCGTTCAGTGCCCCTTTGGAGAATATTTTTAAAAGTGTCAGCGTCAGTTTGTCTTGAAACCACACATGAAACTTATGGCGATTTCCATTTGTCAATCAGTGAGCACTGAGTGTATCTGCATCTTTTTCTAACAGCATGTAACATGTAAGGATATGAATACATTATTTTTGCACTGGTTCGACAAATGGAACCGGCTATTAAGTTTTGAGGTTAAAATTTCAATCGATTTTTTACGCGCCAAAATTTAAAGAGATCCAAGTGCAGAAGCGCCCTCTTCAACTCAATTGTCAATATTACATGCCATTATGATCCAGAGGGGTGCAATTTTCGAAACCATTCGAGTACATTTCGTACACGAAATTTGATTGACAGCAATGTAAATTAAATGGGGAGCAGTAAAATTTCGTGTACGAAATGTACTCGAATGGTTTCGAAAATCGCACCCCAGGACACTAATTTAGGATTCTCGTGCACCGTATGCGTTTAATTATAATTTAGTTCATATTTTTTTTTAGTTCGGAACAATAATCGAACTACTCGGAACTCTAAAAACTAGTTCAGAAATGATCTGAAATCAATACCAGAGTAAATTTAATGGGTTTTAGAAGATTAATTGTGCATCTGGAACAGGTTCTAAATGAACTGCGAACAATTCAATGTGTTCGGAACAACGCAACAATAATGAATTTGTTCAGAATCAGTTTTGAATTGAACTGCCTGATACGTATTTTATGTTCAATTCAGAACTGATTCTAAGCTGAGTCCGAACAAACTAAATGAATTTTGAATAAAAAAAGAGTAAATTCGATGTGTTCCAGGGCAATTGTGATGACGTCATCTACAAATTGGTTTAAACCGTGGTTCGAACCATTCACTCTGTGAGAAAACGCCTTTAAATCATAGACTTTTATTATAGGCCCAGTTCGTTTTCGTCATCTTTTTCGTCGATTTGCTCCGAAATTTTGATAGGCACGAGTTTATGATTTTTGGATAGGCACGTGATTTGTAAACTGAAACTGTTTGACCCAGTCACGTGCCTGTCAAATTTCAGAGCAAATCGACGAAAAAGACAAAAACGAACTCGGCCATAGTTGTATTTCTTTAACCCCTAGGAGGAGCTCCGGAACAGCTCCGGGGCGTTACGTGCTTATACCTTTCGAAAAGTGTTTGTTGCACCTAAAGTGCTCAAGCCCAAATTAAACCATTTAAATGCACGAAAGCCATCACATCTGTTCCTTTCAAATCGGGGTCGAGTAACACCGGAGCGAGTAGCTATAGTGTTCTAAACTCTTGAAAGAAATATAACTTATATGTCTATGGATTTGATAGTTCTCTAATTGTTTTAGAGCAGCTCTAAATTCATCCCATACAACAAATTCTGAACTAAGTTCAACAAAACTCAAACGTGTTTGGCACTTACTCCGGACAGTTAATATGTTCTGAATTAATTCTGAACTTATTTATCCGGATTAAAGATTTAGGGCTATTTTAAGAGAGGTTTAACGATAATCAAGGTTCAAGTGATATTTTTACATGTAAGCGTAAAATTTGTGTGTATAATCCTAGATTCGAAATTCGAATTCAAATATAGTTCAATAACTTTTTTTTTGCTACCTACTCTAGACTGATTTGCTAGGTCTCTAATTGTTTAAGAGCAGCTCTAAATTCATTCCGGGCAACTGAACTAAGTTCAATAATTCTCCAACGTGTTTCACACTTACTCCGAACGATCTGGATCTATTTTGAACTAATTTATCATGGAAGAAATGTGAACAGTGTGCTGTTGGGAAAGAGTTCCGAATTTACGCTTTCTGTTCCGAAATTGTTTGCGGTAAAATGACTGGTTCATTCATTTAGTTCGGTAAGAGTGTGAAATATTCAAATTTGCCGCTATTCGAGCTGGCAACATAGCGAAAAACGTCACCAGTCCTCCTAGAAACGTCAACAACGTCAAAAAATCAATCGTTTTTTCGGTTCGGGCAAAGCACAATCTGTCAAATTCTTGAAATTTTGATCAGGCACGATTCTCAGGACAGAAGAAATTGAATTTTCCAAAGAGTTTCCACAGCGACCGGACCGGACCACAAAAATTCAGTGCAGTTTGCAGATATTTCTTTTCCAGTTCGTTTTTTGAATATCGTATGTCCATCCAGAATCTCAACACATTTGGTAAGCGAACTACGCCTCATTAAAATAAAACGGTTTTTTCTTTTTTCTATCGGGCAGAGCCTTTTGCGAAAGACAACATGGCGTCTTGGGGAATTTTTATTAATTAATTTTAAGTGTAAAAACCCATTTGGTAATCAATTGATTTAGCAGGCATATTTTCATTTCCCACATGAAATTAGTCATCAATTTTTCAAGCCAGTTTCTAAGGTCAGATTTTAGGGGAAAAAATTCAGTTTTTCTCATTGCAGATTCCTTTTAATTTAAATTGAAACTATAGAGCCTTGAATTTATTGTTGGTGTTAAATTTTAAATATTGATTTGTTGGCCTCAAAATCTCCTTGACCCCATTTTGTGGAAAAGATTATTCTTTTTTAATAATTTCTGTCACATAAATACCTAAGGGCCAAATTATGAATCAACTGGTAAGTGTCTGGTTGTTACCTAGCAGGTACTTTCTATCCTCTAGTGCATAGAAAGTACCTGCTAGGTAACAACCAGACGTTTACCAGTCAGTCCATAATTTGGCCCTAATACATACAAACACACATCTACAGGGTTGTCTTGTCATATATGTATGGAAATAGCCTCCTAATATAGGGCATAGGGCGATTTGACGTTCTCTCAATTCAATATGGCGCCGTGGGAATAAATTACTTGACAACCCTAAAGGCACGGTTACATTCAATCCCTATTCAAATTGCAGTCAATGGCAGCAAATATCCAGTTAAGTTCCCCAAAATTTTGTAGAGGGCGCAAGTGAACTTGGAGTGCTTTGAATTTTGGTGGTAAATGTCAATAGTTCTAAACCGTCAGCTTGTCTTGAAACCACACATCAAACTTGACTTTTGAGGTTAAAATTACATTCGATTATTCACGCTCCAAAATTTGAAGAGCTCCAAGTACAGAAGCGCCCTCTTCAACTCAACTGTCAATATTACATGCCATTGGGATTGAATCTAAAGGCACCTTCACAGTTATCAAGTTTGTTATGCCCATATCACCATCTTGAACTATCAGCTGATTCAAATTGCTTTCCAATGTTGCCAAGCTTACTGTTTTAAAGATGTCCTACATAACTTAATTTTGTTTGAATAAAAGTCCCTCTTTATTTTTTTTTGTATGATTCTTCCTTTCAACATTAGGCCTGTTCGCACAGCAATCACAAACCAGTCAGAGCGAATTTCATTGGTTGAAAACAGTCAGAAACCTAGTTTCAACCAATAAGATTCACTCTGACTGGTTTGTGATTTCTCTGCGAACAGACCTATTACTTAACCCCTAACCTGCCAAAATTCCATTTGACTTGGTTTTTGAAATATGGCAACACAGCTTTTTTCGTTGACATTTGAGGCCTTTTCCATACATTCCAACAAAAAAGCTGTGTTGCTATATTTCAAAAACGAAATCAAATGGAGGTTTGGGATTTTAGTAATGTTGGAACGCTGTATTGATTGCAATAAAAATAAAGACGAGGGACTTTAATTTTCAAAAAATAAGTTACATACAGCATCTTAGAAACAGTAAACTTGGCAACATTGCAAATACCACCATTGAATCGGGCATTCACAAAACATGATTCAGATATATTTTTTTCTTTTTATTTCAGACCCCTTTGCTGATGCCAGTAAGGGAGCTGATGATGATGTTCAGGACGGACTTGTTCATATAAGAATCCAACAAAGAAATGGTCGTAAGACTCTAACAACTGTACAAGGCCTCTCATCGGAGTATGACTTGAAAAAAATCGTGCGAGCGTGTAAAAAAGTAATAAAACCCAACCAACAAAAAAACTATTTAATTCAATTGAATCATTTTATAGGAATTTGCATGCAATGGTACAGTAATCGAACATCCAGAATACGGCGAAGTGTTGCAGCTACAGGGCGATCAACGCGAAAACATCTGCCAGTGGCTGACCAAGGCCGGCCTGGCCAAACCGGATCAACTGAAAGTGCACGGGTTCTGAGGCGCATCATGCCACTGGGGCCGGTCAATACCAATAACTTTTCTTTCTTGCAAACATCAACAAATTCCATCAGAACTATAACACGATATCAGCAAAATTGTTAGTTAGTAAAAAAAAAAAATAGTCATTTGACTTTGTACAATAATAATAAAAATACATAATAATTTTTATATATTATTATGATTGTGCCTTTACGTATATAGATTTTTTTTTTAAATATGAAAATTACTTAGTTTTCACACACTTAAATGACCTTTTTGAGTTTCACAATTTTTTTTTTTAATGTTGACTGTGTAATAGGTTTTTTGTCACTATAATAATAATATTAATAATAAATAAATAAATATGGCTCAAGTTATTAGTGTTTTTATTTCTAACAAAAACAGAACAACAATCCTCTTTTGGGATAAGATTTACTGAAGGTTTCATCCTTAGATTATATAAAGGCTCACAGGTGTTAGCCTATATATAATCTAAGGTTTCAGCATATTCCATCTGTAATAGAATTATAGATATGAGACTAGTACCTATAAATTCCTTAATACATTTTTGTAATGAAAATCAATTATTTTTAAACTTTGAAAAATGCTCAGTTTTGTCATTTTCATGAGAATCTACAACAATAATTATGACTACAAATTAGGAAATACTTCTTTGAACAGGGTTTCTCACATCAAAGATATGGGGGTCCTATTTGAATCCAAAATCTCTTTCAATCTGCACATAGACTTTGGTAATATAATAGGATTCTTGGACTTATCAAAAAACAGGGTGCTGATTTTCATAAATATAAAACAATTATAACTTTTTATTATTCTTATGTTGTTATCAAACTACAATTTGCTTCTACTATATGGAGCCCCAGATACAAGAATACCGTCAATAGACTTATGATTTTTATGTTATAAAACTCATTTTTACATTGCAAATCATGATTACTCAATGGCTCGATCACCATTATAAAATTCTTGAATTGGAGAAAAGACGAACCATATGTCTGACATTTTAACAATATTTAAGATTGTCAATAATCTATCTAGCTCACCAAGCATTCTTTTGAAAATTAAATTTAAAATATTATCCGTTCACAATCCGATTTCCACAGGTAGGTACAGGTAAATTCACCTTTCAATGCTATTTGATAGGGAAAGGTGATAAATTTACCTGCACCTGTGGACATCGGATTGTGAACAGGATATACCTGTTCGAACACTTTAGAAACCATGACTTGTTTTATATTCCATATTGTAGAACTAATTATTATCAAAACGCACCCCTAGTCAGAATGTTAAAGGCTGTTAATATTACACTGTACTGATGGTGATTTGGACATATTTGCAACTATGAGTTGTTAACATTTAAAAAAAATCTTAAATGTAAATTTTTAGGATGAACTTTTATGTGATATGGTTCGGATACTTACTTAGATATCACTCTTACAGAACTTTACATTAAATATTATATTCATGTATCTGTATGTATACTGTATTCTGTAATATTGGGACACTGTTTTTGGACTTTGTCTGTTTGTGTCCCAAAAGCCTAAATAAATAAATAAATAAATAAATGCCACTTTTCAAAAGTTTTGGAAAAATTTAAATTAAAAATACAATTTTAAAAAAGTAGGTACTTCTTGAAAATTTATTTACTTATTGCTAGGTACTTAAAAATGTATTGAAAATTTAAATCTACTTGAAAAGTAGTATTCAAAAGTAAGTACCTACTCAAAATATTTCAAGTAGATACCTAGGTATACTTACTTCTTATTATTCAGTACCTATTTTATTTAAATTGTGTTCTCTATTTTATATTGTAAGTAGCTAAGTTACTCAGTAGCTCAACTACCTCTTTGAAAAAATAGCTAAGCTATTAGTAACTTAACTACATTTTGAATTAGTGAAAGCTACTATTTAAGCTACTTTTATCAATGTACATGCCTTACAGGTCTATAAACCTAGCAGTCCCAAGGTGGAAAAAAACTTCGGGAACTATATAATAATTAGGTGCTTTTTAGGTGCTAATTAGGGCCTCTAATTAAAAATTAGGTGCTCCTTTAGTTTCTGAGAAAATCAAAAAAATACTAAGGGACTGCTAGGTTTATAAAAGCTAGCAGTCCCCTATAGTAAAAAATATTTTTTCAAATTTTTTCTTTGTATCAGAATTAGGTGCTGCCTCTAATTAAAAATTAGGTGCTCCTTTAGTTTTTGAGAAAATCAAAAAAAACTAAGGGATTGCTGAATTTATGAAAGCTAGTAGTCCCCTATATATTTTTTCAATTTTTTTTCTTTGTATCAGAATTAGGTGCTTTTTAGGGCTCCTAAATAGTCGAAGAAAAAATAGAATTGATTAATTATTAACTGTTACAGACTTTTTTTAATTATTAGGGGACTGCTGGCTTTACGTTTACTTGTTGGTGTGTCAGAATGGCAAATAAACTTCGGGATCGATATAATAATTAGGTGCTAATTAGGGCCTCTAATTAAAAATTAGGTGCTCCTCTGATTTTTGAGAAAATCAAAAAAAACTAAGGGATTGGCTAGGTTTATGAAAGCTAATAGTCCCCTATAGTAAAAAATATTTTTCCAAAATTTTCTTTTGTATCAGCATTAGGTGCTTTTTAGGTGCTCCTAAATAGTCCAAGAAAAAATAGAATTGATTAATTATTAACTGAGTTACAGATTTTTTTTTTAATTATTAGGGGACTGCTGGCTTTACGTTTACTTGTTGGTGTGTCAGAATGGCAAAAAAACTTCGGGATCTATATAATAATTAGGTGCTTTTTAGGTGCTAATTAGGGCCTCTAATTAAAAATTAGGTGCTCCTCTAGTTTTTGAGAAAATCAAAAAAAAAAACTAAGGGATTGCTAAATTTATGAAAGCTAGTAGTCCCCTATAGTGAAAAATATTTTTCCAAAATTTTCTTTTGTATCAGAATTAGGTGCTTTTTAGGTGCTCCTAAATAGTCGAAGAAAAAATAGAATTGATTAATTATTAACTGAGTTACAGACTTTTTTTTAATTATTAGGGGACTGCTGGCTTTACGTTTACTTGTTGGTGTGTCAGAATGGCAAATAAACTTCGGGATCGATATAATAATTAGGTGCTAATTAGGGCCTCTAATTAAAAATTAGGTGCTCCTCTGATTTTTGAGAAAATCAAAAAAAACTAAGGGATTGGCTAGGTTTATGAAAGCTAATAGTCCCCTATAGTAAAAAATATTTTTCCAAAATTTTCTTTTGTATCAGCATTAGGTGCTTTTTAGGTGCTCCTAAATAGTCCAAGAAAAAATAGAATTGATTAATTATTAACTGAGTTACAGATTTTTTTTTTAATTATTAGGGGACTGCTGGCTTTACGTTTACTTGTTGGTGTGTCAGAATGGCAAAAAAACTTCGGGATCTATATAATAATTAGGTGCTTTTTAGGTGCTAATTAGGGCCTCTAATTAAAAATTAGGTGCTCCTCTAGTTTTTGAGAAAATCAAAAAAAAAAACTAAGGGATTGCTAAATTTATGAAAGCTAGTAGTCCCCTATAGTGAAAAATATTTTTCCAAAATTTTCTTTTGTATCAGAATTAGGTGCTTTTTAGGTGCTCCTAAATAGTCGAAGAAAAAATAGAATTGATTAATTATTAACTGAGTTACAGACTTTTTTTTAATTATTAGGGGACTGCTGGCTTTACGTTTACTTGTTGGTGTGTCAGAATGGCAAATAAACTTCGGGATCGATATAATAATTAGGTGCTAATTAGGGCCTCTAATTAAAAATTAGGTGCTCCTCTAGTTTTTGAGAAAATCAAAAAAAAAAACTAAGGGATTGCTAAATTTATGAAAGCTAGTAGTCCCCTATAGTAAAAAATATGTTTCCAAAATTTTCTTTTGTATCAGAATTAGGTGCTTTTAAGGTGCTCCTAAATAGTCGAAGAAAAAATAGAATCAGGGCCGTAGCGATATGACTACCTCTAGGGGGGGAGACTGAGATCCGGCGCCCCCTAAGCTCCGCAAAACCAGTTGAATTCAAAGGCGAAAAATAGTTATTAATTATACAAAGGAAAAAAGTACTAGATTTTAGCGCGAGGTGTGGTTTGTCTAGACAACACAGCAAGCGCTAAAATCTTACTTTTTTTCCGTATATACACTATTTTTTCTGTGACGGGTAAATCTCATCATTTTCCATCTATACATCTTTTTTTTTCTGTGACTTTACTTATACTTTTTTCCCTTTGAGAAAAAAAATTTGACTGGTAGGTACCTGTTACTTTTTTCCCGTGGGAAAAAATCACTTTTTTCCCGTGGGAGAAAAAGTGACATTTTTGCCTCTGTCAACAGGTACAATTTTCCCGTCACAGATTTTTTTTTTGCAACTTTGACAGGCTTTAAAACCTAAATGGTTAATTTTAGAGGAAAAAGGATTTTACATTCATTTCTTAGATTTTCATAAATTTAAATTATCATTTGATACCAACTTTGAATTTAACCCATGATTGAAAATTCCTTACAGCCGGGCAAAGTTGCAAAAAAGTCAGTTTTCAACTATGTATTAATATTTCCAAAACAGTTGAACTTAGGTCTAGGATTGGGCATATAGGCTAGTAAAAGTAAAACTAGGTGGGCAACCCTAAACAAATTCGCTACAAGCTGATTTTTGCGCCATTGTGTTCCTTTTAGTGTTTCCTATAAAGGGTTAAAAATCCCAAAAAATCCGATAGGGGACGCAACCCCAAAACCACCCCCAGAGGTGCATTTTTTAGGTTTGTACAAGGCACGTTTTTTGTAGAGTACAAAATTTCGAATCAAATGGTATACACATTTGTATTATTTAAATAATGTCACGATATTGTCCGCCAGGCTGTCAAGAATCGATGGTGGAAATACTAGAATCTAGCGAATTATTCTACTTTTATCTGGAAAATTAGATTATCGTGTGTATTCTAGATTTTACAGGAAGAGACTTAGGGATATATAAGAAGGCCAGCATTGGTTTGTAAGTTAGTTTAGTTTCAGTTCGAGTGTAATACGATTTAAATAGTGATTGTAAAGAGTTTAATTGTTGAGTTTGTTAATAAAGTAATTAGTGTCAGAGTGTTTTGTTAAGTGGAATAAATTATTGCTGTGTTAATTGGACTTTGATTTTTTTTGGAATAAGCGAAACGAACAACGAACCTAAGATTTTTGTCAGCAGGCAACCCAAAGCCGCGACAATAAGTTTTAATGTTGATACAGGCCTTAGAATTCAATTTTGAATAATTCCTTCCTCAT